TCTGACTGAGACAGACAGAAGACCGACAAAGAAATTAAACAGATTCTTAACCTTGTCCTTCATGCAAGTAGAACACAACATGTGAAACCACAAATATGTATCCAGCAATTAAATGTAGGATTCTGCAACATTTCATTTTTCTATATTTACAGAAACTATTAACAAATGCATAAGCATAGGCTGTACTTTTTCTTTTTTTTTTGACTGAGGTCTCTAATCTGCTGTTGGCAAGCACTGCACATTTCAAACTAAATGGTGAAAATACTCAGAAATATGTAGGATAATCCAATTTTTGCCCTCAATGGTCTCATTTGTCTGTGGCTGCTATGCTATGAAAATGAGTTTGGTCGTGATCAATTCAGGTCATATTTTCCATGTACAAATCAGATGCATTGAAATGTGCGTGCATGCTCACTGTCAGTCGCTGCATACTCACACAACTGAGACCTGCTGAACTAATAAGATGGGTTCCTGTGTCAATAATTCATGAATCTTTGCTCAATTCCAGGCATCCTATTCCACTCAAACCATCTTCATGTCTGATTGGGTCATAATGAGAGCCTTCTATTATTAAAATTAATTTGATGGAATGGTATCTGCTGCTCCATCAACCACAAGATCAAATCCAGCCCCACATCTGAGAATAAATTGCATAAATAAATTATAGTATAAATAAAGTCAGGTGTAAATTGAGTTATATTAATAATTAAAAGTGCCATTGTGGCACACAATGTGTCTCATGGGTCTAGATTTTTTTATGAATTCACATCTGTCAGTGTTTGTATAACAACAGTTCTCTGTGGCAGCAGAATTAATATTAATTGTGTAATATGTATTCTTCTTTAAACTGAAACAGTGTTTGTGTAAAAATGTACAAAAAGAAAGTAGTACTTGTAGAATAAAGTGTTTTTCAGAAAATGCTTAAGAAATGCATTAGTGGTTGTGGTAGCTCAGTGGTTAAGGGCTGCAATCTTTGCTGTGGATTCGAGCCCAAGAAGGGCATCCAACATAAAACAGTTGCCCAATCTTTCACGTGAGTTTGCATGCTATGTCTACCCCTGCAGAAGGTAGAAGCTGAAAAATCAACTACTTAAGAAATGTGTTACATGTTTTATATTTTCTGGACTAGCATGTTCTAACTTATTTTTCACTCTTTATCTGCATTGCTTATCAGCATAAATGACATTAAGCAGGGGGTATTTACTCTTTAATACATAGTTTTAATGAACTATTTATTATCTTATATTACTGGATGTTCACTGCAAATAAAATCTTTTTTATAAAAATCTTTATATATATATATATATATATATATATGAAGGCATTTTAAAACATTTCCACACTTGCAATATTTAAAATAATGTTTCTATACTCTAAATGCTCTAAAAGATTACAGAATATCATGATTTCAGCTTCTTGCCTCGTCTGCTCTTTGCCACCTGCAGCACTCTTGGCCACGCCCACTCCTCCACTCTGCACAAACAGCTGATCAGCTGTTCATCTGCAGCAGGAAGCTTATTCTGCAGTAAGAGCTGCACAAAGCTGCAGGAGGAAGCTTTTTCTGCAGCTCTTGGCTGCACAAATGTGCAGCAGGTGCTAAGTAATTCAAAATAATTTATTTAAAATAAAAATTCCATGCCGATTGTATGGCTCAACCATCAATCAGCCAATTGTGTGTCATGTCCAATCTTATTTTGAAATACCGCGAAAGAGCGAAGTAGCGAAGGACCACTGTTATTTCAGAATGCAGTGGAATTCATATATTTTCCAAAAACATTTAATCAGTCTACACATAAGATATACAGGTATATATGAGAAATATCTGCTGTAAGTAATATTTTTCAGTAGGTTTTCCTCCTATTTATTTAAATATGTGGACACAAATCAAACTTCCTTTAAGGTGGGGACTACAATCAATTATTTTGCTTGGCTGTTTGACTTTCCTCATTTCACCCTTTTTCACAAACCTGCAAATGCAGACAGACAGACACACTGGTCTCAGGAGACAGAGAAATGTGTTAAAGAAGGCATTAAAGTTCATTCTTTCTTCGTCAAAAAAATGTGGCTGGCCGGAATTCATCACAGGATCAGACTGTTTCTCATCAAACCCAGGAAAGTGTAGCTAATGCAATTTCACTAAGTCACTGCCCGACTTGATTAGATGTGGGCTGGAGAGTACATGGGTAGACACCATAGGGGTGTCAATGGGTGTCACTGTGTATGGGAGTGCATTTTAGCCTGTGGCATCTGTGTAGTTTTGATAGTCTTTTTTTTAATTAGTTTTTTTACTTTTTGCAACCTTACATCCTATAGGTATATGCATGTTTTGTGTGTCCCTTATGGATATTTGTGTCATGTCTGCTAAGATGCACTGGTCTTGCAAACAGAGTTACAGCCCTCAAGAGGGATTTTGGTCAGGTTTGGCTATATTAGAATTAGTGCCTGGATTTCAGTGTCCATCCCACTGAGCACCATGCCTCCTCCACATCCTCTAATCCTTGATCAGTCTACATCCCAAGAGACACAAATGGACATAAACACTCATCTAAGCAACACTGCTCAAGCACACAAATTCAATCACACAAGCTTTTGTTAACAAAATCCAACTTTACCAGACTATACTGAAACAAGACTGCCTGCAGTATGGTGACATTTTGACCTAAAGCCTGAACTACACTGTCACATCTAGAAAACTCTGAAAATTTCATGCATATTAATACGTTCCTAATTATTATTCATCAGTGCCATGCCCTGTTGGCAGCCGGTCCCAGACCCAGTGGATCAGTGAGGTCTTTGCTTCGCTCCTTTGTCTGACACGGATGCAGATGTTTAGAGCATGAAATTAAATTGGTCGCTGTCATTGGGAATGCATACACGGTTGTCTGTTTGATGTGCGTGTTTGTGTGTAGTTTCCAGTTGGGAAGTGGCTCTCGGAGCAAACAAGTAACGCCAACTTTTCCAAAGTGTGTGACGTGCTGATGTTATTCATGGAAACTTGAGTATTTACAAGTTGGAAATGGAAAAAAAAAGTTTTGCCAGTTCTTTTCACACTGATAATCTGTGAGTCAGAAAAGAAAAAGTGCATGATTTGATGAAGCTGGGAGGATGAGCATGAAAGTGCATTGGCGACAGCTTTTTTTAGGAGGCTGTAATTGAGTCTTAATTGAATTGGCACCAAAAGAAGGATGAAGATGATGTGATGGAGAAAGACAAAGTTTGAGTGAGTTGGACCTCATCTTTGTCCTCTCTTAGCAACACAAAAGTAGGTTTACCGTGCGAGGGAAATTTCACGGCAACAGATCAGAATCAAAACCCCTTGATTGAAAAGTATGGGATGGAATGAAAGCGTCTCTTGTCATTTTAATGAAATACAGTGTTGTCTTCCACATGTGTCAAATGAAACTTGTTCCATTAGAAATGCATTAAGAAGCCCAACAGAGGGAACAATGGGGCTGATATGCATTTGAATGCAAGGCTAGGCAGGCTGCACAGGTAAGGCTGAACAGGCCTTCGCACTGCTGCACAGACTCTTTGAATTGAAGCACATGAGCTTTGTAAGGTTGCATTCATCTTGGAAATGACACATCAGGAAACAGCATAGTGAGGCTTTGTGTCGAACTGAAAACCATTTCAGGACACACATGCACACAAACCTTTAGTCTTTTACAAACCACTGGATCACCTTTTTGTTTGATTTTTAAAAAAAACTTTACTTGTTCTTTATATTAAACACTAAACATCTCATATTTGCTACTACCAGACTGTAAAAAGAACATGCAGCCAGTGCGTCATTGTTATTATTATTATAAAAAAATTTAAAAAAAAGATTAGCTTATGCAAAATGAATGAACTGTTAATGCTTCAGACTAACTTGGTTTGACTCTAGAAAATTGGTTTCGAAATCATTTCCTGCTCCAAATTTTACAAATACAAATTTAATAAAATAACAGTTCATCTACTTCATAAAGACAGTCGTGCAGCTCTTTTCTAGTTCCAGTTTTCATGTTCTTAACAACAGCCATTTACTATTTGCTTGCTAACACCCAGTGTACCTCTATGTAAACATGCACACCTGCATTCATGCGTAATATTCTTTCAAAACATTTGCACAACAGTGCATACACACGGACAATCTTTTCTCGCTGCTTTTGCTACATCGACAACAAGTGGCAGTTTCTTCTCTATCAATTCTATCGATTACTTCTGGATGAGTGGAGGTAATGAGCTTTGGTGTTCCTTCTCTCCCCTGTGATCTCACCTTTTCCCCCGTCTGCAGCAGTCTCACCCACCTCCAGGATGTTACATGGCAATGATTTTCTGATTAACCCTGTTGGCTGTGGGGTTCACCCACTCAGAGACGTAGGGGCATAAATGGGAGTGGGCATGTGCAATGCAATTAGAGTTGAGATGGAGTGGCCATGTTAATTGAGGGATGTGTCTGTTATGGTTGCAGCCTACTTCTGCAAGGATTAAGTATTTTTGAAAACTTGTATTCAATAATGTAAGACTAATGAAAAATATTGGTTGGTTATCACAAAAACATTTTCCACTCATAATTATCCATAACAAAATGAGCACAAAGCAAAGATTGTTCTTCTTATAATTATATAAATAAACTAAATAATGAAAGCAAATCTCGTCGAGTGAAAATAATTTTGGAAGATTTAGATGTAATTTGTAAAAAAAAAAAAAAGTTTTATTTGTGGAATATACCTTTGCTATCAGTATACAGACATACTACTGACATAATAAAGAACACAAAGACACTAAACTTCCACAGTGTGCGCAGCGGTGTTGAGTGAGGTTTGGTAGCACACTTCTTTACATTTGTGGACATTATTTGATATATTTCAGCTCAGCAAATGACAGAATTGTTTTGTGAATGAAAACGCTGCACATTTTTAGATGAGATTGAGGTTTCAGTTTTAAATTCTACCAACTATCTTTTTAATGGATGTCCGCTTTGATATTTAAGTCAGGTCCTGTTTCTTGTCTTTTAGGTGGCGCTGATGACAACCTGATTGAAGGAGGGGAAATGAAGTTTGTCTGTAAGCCAGGAGCAAGGAACATCACTGTGATTTTCCAGCCTCTTCTCAGGTACAGCAATAAACATTTTATTGAATTGCCAGCCCCAAAAATTTGATTTTAAAGTGTTCTCCAAATGTGGTTTTAGTTTATTAAGGTACTAGCAACACCAAACAGAAGAAAGTATTGCATTTCTGCTGACGCACTAGTCTCATGACTTCATTCTAAATTCAGTTTTATTCAAAACAAGTGAATTAGTCATGGCACAGATCTTTTGTTTGGGCAAAAGCATTAAACAAGTTTGTGACAGATGTAGCAAGAAAAACATATAATTTCGAACTGTATATTTCCCACCAATTTACATTTTAGAAGAATCAGGGGGGAAAAAGCTATAAATGACAAGATATTTAGCTTTTAGTAGATGGTTTTAGGTACCGTATCTTTCAGACTATAAGGCGTATTAAGTGAAACAAGTTCATTTTGACCGATTTTTATAGTGTCCTGTATAACATAAAATCGGTTCAAGGCCAGTAAGTACAACAAGAATTAATGCATAAGGCGCATCGGAGTATAAGGCTCACTGTCGATTTTTGAGAAAATTAAAGGATTTTAAGTGCACCTTATAGTCTGAAAAATACAGTAATATCCCATTACCTTAACAAGATGGGTCCACAACTGAAGCAGCTCTTTCAAAAAGGACTGGTCAAGCTGCTTGAGACCAATGATGCCTGAGACATGACTTAATACCAGCAAAATGCCAGACTAATTGTATTGTATGACCTCTTAGTGACTTATCTATTGATTTTAGCTTTTTCTGTGTTTAGTACAGTATAATAAAGATGATTTAAAGTGATACATCTTGGTTAAAATGTTTATTTATATAGTCAAAAATTGGGATTGATTTCCCAACTTTGCTTTTTTCCATTTAGATTTGGCAGTTGTGAAGGTCTGTCTTTGTTTCAACATTCTGAATGTCTGGAAGTTTTCCATGCAGTGCTATATTCCCAGCAGAGTAGAGGAAATCTAATAGTAAAGCAGTTTTATTGAATTGCTGTGCAGTCAGTGATACATTACCTTTTAGAGCCCATTAAACAGGGATGTTTTTCCACTACTCAAAATGGCATACATACATTTTGTATCCTGCTGCATATTCTTAATGTATAAGAAGAAGGATAACCGCATATTTTTTGTTTTCACTTTGTTACTTGCATTTGCTGTAACATGGCATGTTAACAGATGTTTTGGCTGTTCAAGTACCCCGAATACATAGTCAGCTGAGATCTATAGCTTCTTGCTGACCATCTGGGCTTATGTGCAATAGTTCAACAACACAAGTAAATGCATAGAAGAAATATATGGTAAATGAAGACATGTAGGGCAAAATTGTAGACTATATTTAGAGAATCAAATCACATCCATCCATTAAGTCATTTTAAGATTAACTGGACTTTCAAAACTGCTTCATATCCCCTTCAGCTTGCAGCAGTAGCTGTATTGCTTTTTTATCCTTGTCTTATTCAGTGATCATCCTTGAAGACAAATCCGTTGTTACAAAGAATAAGGACAAACAATATTTTGGTACAAAAGAGCTACACAACATATTGTTTTAGCAGCACTACCGTATTGTTTTCATTTATAATATTTAGATGGTTGAATGTTTGAAGCTAAGCGAAACGAAGGCTATTGAAACATGCCCTGCTGGGACATATTTATTTGTAAAATTGTCCATTGACTTTTTTCCAAATAAAACATAGTTTTCACCAAAGGAAACATTTAAAGTTTTGTTATCAATTTTAATAAAATTACATTAATAGGATGCTTCTCAAAGTGAATATGGTTTTGGTGCATTTTGCTCCAAGATAAACAGGACATCCAAAAGCGTGTGAGCCTTAAAATGATCACAAAATAGCAGTCTCCTAATAGGAGAAATAGTTGCTTACTCTTCGATGTTTGCTTTATTGAAATATTTAAAAATAAAATTATTTCAGTAAAGTTCAAGATATTTGCATTTCCAAAGACAAAACAGTTTTTTCTTTGCAGGTTTCTGCTACAAAACATTAATTTGATAGTTTGATTTTTGACTATTTTTAATTTTAATAAATATGCTTTTATATTTTTGTAAAGAAAGTAATATTTAGTAACAATTGTATGAACTTGAAAGAGAATACATGGTGTTTACGTGTCTTTCATATGGTGTGTTTGTGTCTTGTTACCACAGTTTTGTTTTTCATCCTGCCTCAGTTGCTCCCTATCTTCATATACTTTTCTTAGTCTTCTGACACTCAGCCCTATTAACATGGGTATGGCCACACTTTTGTCGGAATAAATGACCAAAAATAAAACGGTGACTAGCTCCCTGCCTACTTCTCCCATGTTGTCTGTAATGGTTCATATCAATCAAAGCAAACTGCCTCGAACACAGGGCTCACTGCTCTCTTTCACCCTCCCTCCCTTCCACCTGGGTTCTCCAGACTTCTTGTGCCAATGGAGTGCTGTAGCTTGCAGATGGTTTTCTAATGGCAAAGCTCTGGCACTCCACTGATGGATCACTACACCTCCTGCAGCAAGCCATGCCACTCATGACAGCTTTAATGACAAAAGCAGTTAGGGGTTGCAGCACAGGAAATCAGTATCAGTGTGTGGGAGATAAAACACCAAAGTCTTAATGTTTGATTGCAAATGATTTTGTGTGTTGTGTTGTGTTCTCAACCATTTAATGGAGTTAAGTGCTGAACTTTATATTCTTCTTGTGTTCCTGTTTTATATTCATAATTTAGATTTACAAGCCTCACTTTCAGAAAAGTTGGGATGTTTTCTAGAATGCAATAAAACTCAAATCTATATACCGGTGTATATATATATATATATATATTTTATCATTTCTTTTTGTTGTGCTGTTTTGTTCTTTAGAAATTAAGGCAACAACTTGTGAACAACACTCACAAGTAAAGAGAAAGGCAATAAAATCAAAAGTAGACATTTCACCCTGTACAAGTTGCACTGTCCAGATGTTCACAGCAGATTCATTGGTGTCAGAATGGGAAGGAAGAATAGATCATAGTTCATCACTCCGTGTCAAACTGTGCAGAGAATCATCAGTTGCTTACAGGAAAAAATAAAAATAAATAAATAAATATATATATATATATATA